GCGCCCGCCGCTCTTGGGAGGGGGTGGTGCAGCCCCCGACGGCGGGGCAGGGCATGGGGGAGCTGGGGGGCTCGCTGAGCGCCCTGCCCCGTCCCGGGGACGCGCTCTCCGAGCCGTCCATGGGCAGCGAGTCTGGCTGGAGCCTTTCCCAGTCCTTTGAGTGGACGTTCCCCTCGCGGGGGGCGCGGTGGCTAGCGTCCCCGCCCCCGTCCCCCATCCGGGAGACAGCCGACTCGGGGCTCTCCGAAGAGGGCGAGTCGGATGGGGAGGATTCGGCCCCCTGCCCCCCGCACTCCCGGAGGGACAGCAGATCCGAAGGGCCCAGCAGATCCGAAGGGCCCAGCCCTGTGGTGGCCAGCAGCCGGGGAGCGGAGGGGGCTCCATGTCCGGGGGGTCCCGTGGCCCAGCGAGAGGCCGAGGGCTCGGCGGAGGAGGAGGAGGAGGAAGGGGAGGCAGAGCAGGAGGCCACCGTGCCCTGCTCCCCTCTCTGCGTGACGGAGCCCGACCAGGACCCAGCTGAGCCCGAGCCCCCTGCCCAGCCCGGCCTCCTCATCGAGGCCGCCCCACCGGATCCGACCCCACCGGATTCGGCCACCGCAGCCGACTCGGCCTGGGTGCCGGCGGGCGACTCGCCTGTAAGCCTGCAGGGCCCCGGCGGGCCGGGCCGGGCCGAAGGATCCTTGAGGGGCCCCGATCCCCACGCCGACCCGGGCTGGCTGACGGAGCTGCTGGCATCGCCCAGGGCCCACACCGCAAGGCACGGCTCTCTGGACGCGGAAGGGCCGGAGGTAAGGGGGCGCGGGGAGCCAGGCGGCTGCGCGGTGGCAAGGGTTAATGCTGGGCCACGGTGTCGGTGTGGCGCTGGGCTCCTCTCCGGCAGGGCTGGGCCTCGCCGGCCGTGTGGAGGCTGAGCGGGAGCGTGCCGTGCCGTCAGGGAGAGCCGGGGTGCGGCCGCTGCTTGCGGGCGCGGGGTGCGCTGGGGAGCCATGGCTGGCGAGTCGGGGACCGTGGCCATCCTCCAGCGGCTGCTGGCCAACCTGGAGCTGTGGGATGAGCTGGGGAGGGCTCGGTGGGCGCCGGGCTGGGCCCCGGGGCAGCTGGCAGCTCCCGGCCTGGCAATGGGGGCCCCGCGGGGTGGGGAGGGCAGGCGGCAGGGGACAGGGACCCTGCTTGTGCTGTGCCCCCCAGCCATCCCAGGATGTTTCCCCCTGCTTTTCCTCTCTGCTGCGTGAGCCGGGACTGCAACCCCCTCTAACCCCCTCTTCCCCCAGGACCTGCTCGGCTGGTCGCGGAAGGACCTGTGCAGTGAATTCGGCATCGGCAGACCTCACCAGGCCGGCACCTTCGACTGGACCCGCGAGGCTGTGGCCAGGGAGAGAGACTGGCCTGGTGAGACAGAGCAGGACCGGGAATTCGGGACTAAATCAAGCTGGGAGAGCACCCACAGCGCCAGGGATGGGGACCGGCGGGACGGGCCCTTCGGCACTGCCAGGAGGGACTGGGGCAGCGATTACAAAGGGACGGAGCTGATGGGGGAAATGCGACTGGGCTGCAGCGACTGGTCCAAATCCCACGGCGCAGGGGAGAGCTGCCTGCAGGATCCAGACTTCAGTGCCGGCAAACCCAAGTGGGGCACAGGCTACGGCTTGGACAGCGTGGGCAGCAGGGAGGAGATAGGCTCTGGGAAGGCTGACTGGAGCAGCAGCTACGGCGTGGGACGTGGCCAGCAGCAGGACGAGGAGCCCAGCTCCAGGCAGCCCAGCTGGGCTGGCAGGTATGGCTCCGAGGTCCCAGAGAGCCAGGAGGGAGAGATCACACCTGCGTGGGCTGTTGAGTACGGCACCAGGGATGCAGAGATGAAGGACAGGGAGCTTGCCCCAGACTGGACCAGTAAATACAGCAGCAGGGATGCTGAGACCAAGGACAAGGATTTTACGCTGGGCTGGGCTGGCAGATCCAGCACTGGGGACACTGGGAGCCCAGAGAAGGAGGTCAGCCCCAGCAGGCCGGCCTGGGACAGCAAATACAGCAGCAGGGACATGGAGAGCCAGGACCGGGAGTTCAGCCCCAGCAGACCAGCTTGGACTGGCGAGTACAGCACCCGAGACATGGAGAGCCAGGACCGGGAGTTCAGCCCCAGCAGGCCGGCCTGGGATAGCGAGTACCGCAGCAGGGACATGGAGAGCCAGGACCGGGAGTTCAGCCCCAGCAGAGCAGCCTGGGATGAGCCCAGCACCAGGGATGTGGAGGCCCGGGACGGGGAGCTCAAAGCCAGCAGGCCGGCCTGGGCCAGCGAGTACAGCAGCAGAGAGATGGAGACCCAGGACAGCGGGTTCGGACCCAGCAGACCAGCCTGGGATGACGAATACAGCAGCCGGGACGTGGAGACCCGGGACAGCAGGTTCACACCCAGCAGACCAGCCTGGGACGATGAGAGGGACGTGGAGACCCAGGACACGGAGTTCAGCCCCAGCAGACCAAGCTGGGCCAGCGAGTACAGCTCTACGAACACTGAAAGGGAAGACAAAGAGTTTAGTCCTGGCCGGCTGAGCTGGGCTGGTGAGCGCAGCATCGGCCAAACCGAGCTGGTCGACGCTTTTGGTGTCGGGAAGGACGACGTGCCTGGCTCCCGTGTCCCCGATCCCCTGGCCCAGGAGCCCGGCTGGGGCAGCACCGACCGGCAGGAGCGCGGTGCCACCGACAGCAGGGACTGGGCTGAAGAGCTCGGAGGAGCTGAGCGCCACAACCAGTTTGGCATCATTGGGACAGAGCGGGTGCCAGATCCCTCCAGCGCCGGAGCGTCGTCAGACGGCTCGATGTCCTGGGCTGGCGGAATGAGGTCGGGGGGCCTGCAGGAGCCCCTGGGAGACTGGCACAGGGACCTCTCCTTCAGCAGCTCGGACGCCACCAGCTGCGTGGGCACTGGTGATGCCGGCGGGGTTGGACTGAGCCAGACGGCCTGGGATCAGGGCCTGGGCAGCTCTGCCCAGCCCCACGAGGCCGGGGTGGAAGAGCCAGGCTGGAGCCGGGACCTCGATGCAGCCGGCTGGGGCGTGGAGCTGCACGACGCTGAGGCCAAGCGCCGGGAGTGGGCTAGCGCATTTGGCGCCCGCTGCGCGGCCCGGAGTCGGGACGTCGGTGCCGAGGAGCAGAGCCTGGGAGATGACGCCAGCTCGGCGGACGGGTAAGGAAGGCGCTGGTGGTGGCAGCGTGGCTCCGGGGAGGGATCCGTCCCCCTCGGGTGCCCACACCGTCCTGCGGTGGGGACTTCTGACACCATGGGCCTCGTGCTGGCGTCCTACCGTGCCTCACTCATAGCTGAGGGACCTGCTCCGGCCCTGGGCTGCCAGAGCTCCTCTTCCCCAGCCTCCACATTTCCGCCGTAGCCTCTGGCCCTGCAACTGGAGCGGGAACTTTTCAAGGGACTGGGTTTCAACTTGTCCCGGCAGGATCTGCCGTCTTGAGCTGATCCAGGGGGGGATGATGCCTTTGGGGCTTCTTGTGCCAGTCTCCCTCTGACATGGGGAGCCGCGTGCCAAGTTTGGGGGGTGCTGGTGTTCCCTTGGCTCCCCGAAAAAGCAGCAGAATTAGTGCCCTTACTGCTTCGCCAGGATGTGGGAACTCTGATTTTGGCCAACTGACGGAGCTGGGGATTCCCAAAATGATAAATTCCCTCAAGCTGCCTGAAACCAGGGATCCTCGGAGGAGGGACGAGAGAGCCGCAGGGGCCTCGGAAAGGCCCCTCCCTGGCTGACCTGTGCGGGGCAGCGGGGAGCCCCCAGCCCCTGCCCCGGGGCTCTGCAGTTTCCTGCTGCCAGCACCTTCCCGCACCCTGGGTGGCCCCGATCCTCCTCCTCCTGCCCCTTGGGGCCCCTTGGTCACCTGGTGTCCCCCTGGCCACCTCCTGGGGGCTGGTGGCCATACTGGGGCTCTGACCCCTTTCTCTGCCCCAAGGGGAGAGTTGGCCTGAGTCCCCTATGAGTCTGGCAGCCTCCTTGCCCTCCCCAGACCCCAAATTCTGCCTCAGCCTTTGGGAAGGGGCTTTGGGGGAACTTCCCAGAGGTGCCACCCCTTTGGTGTGACATCCTGGGAGAGGGGGAAGAGTCCTGGACACCTGGGTGCTGTCCTGACTTCACGGGAGCAGCGTTTGGCCCTCCCCGTGCCTCAGTTTCCCCTGGAGGCTGACAGAGGCAAGGTTTGGGGCAGGGGGAGGGCTTGTGTTAGCTGGAGCTGGAGGAACTCTGGGGTCTTGTCTTGTCTCCCTGAGCAGAAGCACCCATCTCTCGGACCCCAGCCCGCCGATGGGCGATGCTCCAGCTGACCCCCTGGCTGCAGAGTGCCGCCGGGGCGAGCCGCCCAGCCCCACCGAGGAGGAGAGGGACCTCCCTGAGCCGGCCGCTGCGCCACGGAGCCCCAGGGCCTCCCCTCTGCTGCTGGAGGCTGCCGGCGGGACCCTGCCAGACACGGAGAGCGAAGAAGCCCCCTCAGACCACCCGGATGGGAAGAGACCACCAAGCTGGGAGGAGAAGAGGCTCTTCCCGGGCACCTCTCAGCCCGAGGGACCCACGGACCACGCTGCGGAGGAATTCACCTTCCTGGAGGTGAGCGGGGCCGGGGCAGCTTCCAGCCCCCTCGTACGGCCCCGGGGGTGCCCGGCCGTCACAGACGCTTCTCTGGGGGCCCTGTTCCTGTCCTCCTCTGGGGCTGGGGGCTTCGCTTCTGGCCCTCGCCTCCCCCGAGGGGCAGGCTGTGGATTCGGGGCCCCCTGTGCTGTTGTGGGGGTCCGTGGGCACGCTGGATGGGTGGGGTGGGGGTCCCGGGGCTCCCCGGTGCTGGGCAGTGACCTGTCCCCGTGGCTCTGCAGGACACGGAGGTCCTGGACAGCAGCGTGTACCGCAGCAAGGCCAACCTGGGCCGCAAGCGCAGGCACCGGGCACCGGCCCTCCGCCCCGGGGCTGCCTCGGAAGGGGAGAGCTGGATGTTCCGAGACTCCACAGGTGAGAGCCCGTGGGACGGTGACAACTGGAGAGGGACCGCAGGGCCGTCTGTCCGCGGCAGAGGTGTCTCATGGTGACGCTGTCCCTGTGTCCTACCCGTAGAGCCCTGCCCAGCCCGCCCAGCAGCGTCCTCTGACGAGGAGGTGGCAGAAGAACCCAAGAGCCGCTCTTCCCCGGCCTCAACACGTCCGCCCTCAAGGTGGGGCCCGCTGGGACCCTGGGCCAGTGGGGCGACGCCTCCCGGCCAGCTGGAAGGGAGGGTTTAACAAGGGAGGGGAAACTGAGGCAGGTTGGGACCGGGGGTTGGCCACCGGCCGACAGTGTGGGGAGGGATGGGGAGGGGGCAGAGCACCGTGCGCCAGCCTGACTTCCCTCCTCTGCCCCCAGGCCAAGCTGAGGGGCCGAAACCGCTCGGCCGAGGAGGGGGCGCTGCTGGGGGACAGCAAGGGAACCCCCCCCAAGGACCCCCATGTGCAGCGCTCCAAGTCCTGCAAGATCCCGGGCTTGAGCGGGAAGCCCCTGGCGCTGCCCCCCAAGCCGGAGAAGTCCTCAGGGTGAGTGCTGGGGGCGCGGGACCCTCGTGGGCGAGGGCTGTGCCTCGGGGGTGGGAGAGGGGGGCCTGGGGGGCACGCGTGCAGGTTTGGGGACAGCCGAGGCCGACGCTGCGGGCACGGGGAGGCGCTGGGGGGCTGTGACCCGGCTCGGTGCCCCATCCAGGGCTTGAAGCGGTCCTGAGGGTGGGTTTTTCCGGAGGCATGAGGATGTTGGGGGTGCTTTAAAGGGATGTTGAGGGGTGCTGGGGCTCTCTGGGCTGGGCCCTCTGGCGTTCGCAGGCAGCAGGAGGCCGGGCTGGGCCCTTGCCCGGCTGGAGCTGGGCGCGGGGGGAGGCTTTGCTGGGCCCAGCTTTCCCAGGGCCCGTTGCCTGGAGAGCAGGGCTGCTCCACCCTAAACACTGCTTGGGACCGAGCCCTTAAAGCCCCAGCCGGCGCGGCAGCTCCCTGCCTGCCCTCCCTGCCTGCCCTCCCTGCCTGCCTCTGCCCGCCGAATCCCCCGGGAGTGGAGATCGGCCGGGGGTCCCTCTTGGCGGGTGCCCCAGGGGGTCGGTCTGGGTGCCGGGGCTGGTTTTGGGGGTGTTTTTGGGACGTGTGCTGACCGACGCTATGCCAACGCCTCCCAGGTCCGACGCCTCCCCCCCCCACTGGCTGCAAGCGCTCAAGCTGAAAAAGAAGAAGCCTTGAGCGGGTGAGTGCGGGAGCTGGGGGGACGCGGGCGACGGACCCCGGCCCCCAGCGCCCGGGGCAGGGCGTAGCTGGGGCCTCCCCTCCCCGCAGGGACTGCGTGTCCCAGGGGGCTGGAGGGGGACGTCAGGCAGAGGTGGCTGGGTGCGGGCCCCGCGGCAGCGGGCAGGGTGGCCCCGGCGGGAGCATGTCCCTGTGTCCCCAGGCCAGGAGGGGCAGCACCCTCCTGCCTGCCCCGGCCGCGGGACCCCCGGCCCGGGGCCCCC